CGTCCCACGTCCCACCACCTGGCAAATCCACCACCCATGGAATAGAGCGATAGACAGAGCACAGTGTCGATGAGAGCATCTCACCGTTCGAGCGCCAGTTCTGCCGCACCTCGAATGTCGCATGCGCGCTCAAGAGACACGGGAGTCTTCTGAGCGAAGCCTTTCGCTTTGTGATACATATAGGAAGCCAATGCAACTGCCTTAAGGCATTCCTCACGTGAGTTCCGATCCCGCCCGCCCGTAGTCAGACGCCGCCCCAAGTCCCAACAGCACAATCGGTGAGCCTGGAAAGTGGCGTCTTCTCCACGCAGGGTGCATTGCAAGATAGTGATATATTCTCGAGCAACGCAGGTAGTCTGCAATCTCGCCAGGCTCTGCGCAGCCCCAAATGCAGCTCGTGGGGGCGTTGCCCATGCGCAGTCTGTGCGCGGTCACTCCGCAGAGGGTCTTGTTAATACTCCATTGCCAGGCAGGCTTGGGAGTCGCAATGAAGGTCCAACAGAGATCCCACCGTCCGACCACAGACCTCCGCCCCCCAGGAATCGGGACCTGCCGCGCGAGAAGCCTTGAGCCCAACGTCACAGGGAAAGAGTCAGGAAAAGCGGCTGCTCGAAGCGCGCGCGCAAAAATGCGCTGCGGGCGCGGGCGGCGGGCTTCCTGGATGGCTGGCTTGGCGTGTTCACGCGCCGCGCGAAACGCTGCGTGCCATCCTGGCTTGTCAGGGACAAGGGGGGCGGAAGCCTCGCCCGCCCCATGAATTGTGCAATCGAGAAAGGGCGCCCCCAGCAGGGCGCTGAAGATTTTCCTGCAATGAAGCGAACTATCGTGGCATTGTCTTGGGCATGTTCTTTCAAACTGCGCAGTGCACGTTTCCATGCGCGGTTCATAATGCGAAAAGAGGTGCGCCAGCTACTAGCCCATCCGAGCAACGAGACAGAGGACGGGGCAATTGCGAGCACAGATGGCAGAGCGTTCAGTTCAGCAAGACCGAGGCTGCTCGGCGGCAGCCTGAGCAGCTTGCGCAAAGCCTGATGCTCGAGTTTGCGAATCCTAGCAGGAATGGGAAACAGTTGGGCGACGTACGAGATGGTCGAGAAAGCGGCGGCGTTGCACAGAAAGGAGAGAGAGAAAACAAAAAAAAAAAAAAAAAAAAAAAAAAAAAAAAAAAAAAAAAAAAAAAAAAAAAAAAAAAAAAAAAAAAAAAAAAAAAAAAAAAAAAAAACGCCGGCTCCAGAGCATGACAGAGCAATCGCCCTCGACCACCACTTCTCCGCTGCGGTAGCCCAGATCATGCTAAGCATGGCTACACGGCCCAGTTCGACCCCCAGGTAGACTGCATGGCCAGCAATCTCAAGGCTGGCCCACTGCGGGATCCAATTCCAAAGCTCGTTTCGGACCCTGTCCTGGACAGCTTCTGCGCAATCGGCCCTTGGAGCCCGAGAAATGCAAAACGCTCACCCCCCCCCAAAAAAAAAAAAAAAAAAAAAAACGGGGAACACCAACCAGGTCTCAAAGGCGAGGCATCACCATTCCGACATCGTCAGCACAAACCCCAAGAGAGCCCTTGCGGCGCCTCGCCTGCGGGAGCTGCGCGGCCGCGCGTAGGCATCTCAGGATGGGATCCATTGTAAGAGCCCAGAGAGAACGAGATAAAGGGCACCCCTGCAGGACCCCCGAGCGGAGATGAAACAGGAAAACGATTTGAGTTTGAATATTACCAAAGCTTCGGGGTAGAAAGTATAACGCGTGGATAAAGTTCAGGAAACCTGGCGGAAGCCCAATCCTACTCAGAATCTCGAACAACCACTGGTGGCCCAAAGACGGGAAGGCCGCCTCCACATCGTAGGCAGCGAAGATCGGGAGGTCCTCCTCAGCCCCGGGGGCGATGCTGGCCTCGCGGGCCTTGGCGTCCAACGCGATGATGTTGGACGAGAAGTTACGTCATGGGATGAATCCTTGTTGAGCCTCATGGGTACGCTCGTGGACAACCTGACGGATCTGGAAGTTGGCGGCGGATGCCATGATCTTAGTGCCCGTATCCCTGAGGCAAAGCGGCCGAACCTTCCCTGGGGACGGCAAACACCCCCGGCCATCTTCGGGCTCCGAACTTTTGGGAAGAAAAGCGAAGAGGCGATCATGGAGCAACAAGGGCACCGCGTGTCCGCCGCACAGATATGCCATGAGTTTATGCAGGACAGTACGTTGTTCGGGTCTAGCTTTCCATGCCGCGCACGTAAGTTGATCAGGGCCAGGGGCTGACCGTCGGGCAAGTTTGAGGGCGCGCCCTAGTTCGGATTCAGTTGGAAGTCTAAGAGGTCAGAGGTCTTGCTGAGGGGCAACCTTGTCGAGGCACTCCTGAAGGGCCTTCTCCTGAACTGCTCTGGCGCCGAAGATGGGCTTACAATGGAAGGTCGGCGCGGATGCAATCTGCCCTGGATCCCTGGATACAGCCGGGGACTCTCGCAGCCTTTCGGGCCGGATCCCTGCGAGAAAGAGACGATGATTTGTGGGGGCCCAGAGAGTAGCGCGCCTCTGGTGCATCCTTACAGCTCGTCTCTCATCCTCGACTACCGCCCCCTCCCCTTTGGACGCCCTGCTTTCAGCAAGTCTGGCCTCCATCTGTCCGATTTCGTAGTTGGCGGCGCGCGCGATGAGGGCAAATTCCTGCCTGTCGAGGAGCTCGACGGCGCCGTTGGACACGTGGAGGAAGTGCGCGCCGTCGGCGGTGGTGGCCTTCGGCGTCTGGGCCGTGTGGACGTCGTTGAGCCAGATACATCTTGTTATTGCACTCAGGGTGATGATACGACCTCCCTTGGCACGGGAGTCTTTGGCCGAGATCCGAAGTCGCTGAAGTTCGCCCCGAACCTGACGAGCAGCCTCCGTCATGAAGTCTTTCATGCATCGCCATTGGTACACAATTGGAAACCGATCCAGTTGAGCCGCATCGAGTAGTTGTCCCAAGATCTCACCGTAGCGTGGGCCACGAAAGACATGCTCAGGAATACTGGTCTGTTGGTCATGCCGAGCGCGGTCGCGAAGGTGAAGAACGATCGGCGTGTGGTCACTGAGCCTGGAGTCAGAGATGGCGGCCGCGTCAATGTCAACCTCCGCTAAGACTTCGACATCTAGGAGAAAGCGAGCTGGAGTTCCAATAAAGACACAATCCAATGTGGCTGCAGTTGGCGTGTCTCTGCAATAGTGCGCGGGGCAAGCAGTCGAAATTTCAGAGAACGTAAAGAAAAGACGTTCCTAATATGCTTGAAGGGGCTGAGATCCACGACTACGTTGAGCAGGAACAGAGCCAGGGACGAAGCCTTCCGTGATGGGGCCCACGTAGCTGCGAGCCGGGCCCAACTTGATATTGAAGTCACCAGCAGCCAGAAGTGCTCTCGTAGTGGGGCGTTGGAGGTTCCAATCGACAAGTTCCCTCCGTTTAGCCCGTATCTTGTCCTGCGCTCGGTGATCCAGCTCGAAGTTGTTAACGCTCATGAGGTTCATGGTGAAGTTGTCCTTATCATTTGTGGTGATGAGGAGAGCGACCCTGCCAGGAGCTAAAGTCTGATGTTGGAATCGAACATGTGGGTCATCTTGGCCTCGAACATCCATAGGAACCAGGGATGAAGTGCCACCAGCCTTCTGTGAGAGAGGGTTTATTTTTTTTGATTTTAACTATAATATATATAGAGAGAGAGAAGAAAAATGTAAGAAAAAAACAAAACACAAAAAAAAACAAAAAAAAAAAAAAAAAAAAAAAAAAAAAAAAAAAAAAAAAAAAAAAAAAAAAAAAAAAAAAAAAAAAAAAAAAAAAAAAAAAAAAAAAAAACGGGTACGCGTAGGTCGCCAGCGCAGCGGTCAGCTTATCCAGCGTTCCTCTGCACCCTTGAATTAGAATAACTGCTCTCTTTCGCATGAACGAGGCGAACTTGTTGAGTTTGGCCTTGCGACGGTGAGGTTTGTAACAAAGCAGGCTTCTGGCATTCCAAGAAATGATCGTACCATTGCGCCGTTCCTGAGCAGAAATCCACGGTGACCATCGTCCGCTAAATCGACCACGTAGACGTATCCACGCTAGCGAACGCCTGTCCAAATGCAGCCACCGATGGTTGCTTGTCAATCTTGAAGCGGGCGAAGATGGGCACGTCCCATCGTAATTTGGATGTTTCATCTGGTCCTTGAACTTCAACGACCACGGGGGGGAGGAGGAGGAGGAGGAGGAGGAGGAGGAGGAGGAGGAGGAGGAGGAGGAGGAGGAGGAGGGGGGGGAGGGGAGGAGGAGGAGGAGGGGAGGAGGAGGAGGAGGAGGAGGAGGAGGAGGAGGAGGAGGGGGAGGAGGAGGACGAGGAGGAGGAGGAGGAAGAGGAGGGGGAGGAACTGACAGAACAAAACTGTGGTCTGGTGGCGCAGAGGCGTAGTGCATTGAGATGGCCGTGGTGTGATCAAAGTGTACTCCCGAAAGCCGACTTGTCATCGATATCATCGTTTCTGCACGCGCGCTCAGAACAGAACACGTCTCTTTGTGCAACTTGGCCCAGGCACACCCGAGCTGAGCTCTTGAGCTGGGAATGTGCGCGAGCGGACTCCGCTGTCCTCAAAGCGGATTGCCAGCGCCATTGGCGTTCAACCATTGCTCGACATTATGTGATACGACGTCTCCAACAAAGGATGTGTCGCAAACTCCCTCGCGCATCCCTCTGTCCTTCCTCACCACTTCGCCCATTCCCAAAAGTCTCCACATCCTTGAGACCGTTTTTTTTTTTTATCGGGGTTATCCCGGGGGGGGTGGAAGGGGGCCGGCCGATAACCTGACCCTCGCGCTGTGGGCAGCTCTGCATATGCCCGCGCCCCCACTCCCGCGGACCTGCACAGCCGTCAAGGTTAGGTTATCCTGGGGGGGGGGAAGGGGCAAGCCCGATAACCTGGGTTATCTCTATGCGCCGCCCCCCCCGTTCTTGTCGACGACGAGGACGTCCTGCCCCCCTCCGCGGGCGAAAAGAGGGCTCCTCCCAGGTCAAGCCTATGGCGGCGGGCAGCCCCACGGAGAAGTCGTCCGGCAAATAGGCCACCTCGAAGCACGCAGGCAGAGAGACAGTGAGAGAAACGACCGATCTCTGGATCGGAATCGCGAGACAAATCCTGAACTAAAGTTTGTAGAGGCCTCCGAGGACCGCGCCGCATCGGCGATGCATCGACGATGCATCGACGATGCATAGGCGATGCGCCCGCGACGTCGGCGATGCGGCGATGCGGCGAGATCCTCCGACCCCATCTGCTCCGACCCCATCCGGGAGGCCTGGAACCTGGCCAGGCTTGATCTTGGGCCGCGCTTTGGCGGCGCGCACAAGGGGGTAGAGGGAGGGGGGAGGGCTTCTTAGAAGGAGGCTGCTTCTTAGAGGGCGCCGGCCCTACATCTATAGATAAGGCCCGCGCCTTCTAAGAAGCAGAAGGTGCGTCTAAGAAGCAGAAAGTGCTTCCAAGAAGCCCTCCCCCCTCCCCCCACCCCCCTCTGCGCGTGGCTGAGCGCTGGCGGCGATCCAGGGGAACTGGCCTGCCGCAGGCCGTGCCCCCGCAGCGCGAGGGCCGGCGCCTCCAGGGGCGCGCCGCCGCGCGGACCTGCACGGCCTGCACGGCGCGGGCGGCGGGTGCTCCGGGAAGGGGGGCGGGGAGCGGAGGGCAGGCTGGCCGCGCGCACCGCGCACGAGGGCGGTGCGGACCTGGGCCAGAAGAGCATCCCTCGAGGGGGGGGGGGCTCCTCGGAAGGCAGGGCTGCTGCTGGGAAGGCGCAGGCCCCTGCGTCTGCAGACGAGGCCCCCGCCTTCTGAGCAGCAGGGGGCGCTTCCGAGAAGCCGTCCCCCCTCCCCTCTGCCCCCCTCTGCGTCGCAAGCGCGTCGGGTCCACGCCCGCCTGCCCCCATGCGGCGACAGCCGCGACAGCACTCACGGGCTTGCAACAAAAACGAAGGAACTACCCCCCCCCCCTGGCGGCGCCCGCCAAGGCTCACACGGACCCGCCACTGGAGGCAGACCCGCATCACACCACGAGGCCGTCGCGGAGCGTGATGGCGCCCCCCACCAGAAGCACGCGCCCACGCCAGCACCTCGACGATGCTTCCCCTCGTCCCCGAGGCCTTCCGGCACCAGCAGAGCTCCGGCTGCAGCCGCAGGGCCCCTCACGCCCGAAGGTTCGCGAACGGGAACGGCGCACGAAAGACGCCAGCAGCACAGCCAGGCGGTCCAAGGCACGGTCACGTGACTGCGCCTTGCGGCCTGTGTCGCATAGCACGGTGATCCGTGCAACTTTTGCCTACTAGGTTGGCCTCGGCCGTGGAGGCGGCCGACCCGATGACCCCGAGCAGCATGTCCAGGAAGAGCTGCAGGAGAACGTGGGCATACAAAGCTGCAGGAAGCACGCGGGAACACTCCGAAAACTCCTCCTCCTCCTCCTGCTCCTCCTCTTCCTCCTCCTCCTCCTCCTCCTCCTCCTCCTCCTCCTTCTCCTCCTCCTCCTCCTCACTCCTCCTCCTCCCTCATCTCCTCCTCCCTCTCCCCCTCCCCCTCCCCCTCCCCTCCCCCTCCCCCTCCCCCTTCCCCCTCCCCCCCCCCCTCTCCTCCTCCTCCTCCCTCTCCCTCCTCCTCCTCTCCTCCTCCTCCTCCTCCTCCTCTCCTCCGCCTCCTCCTCCTCCTCCGCCTCCGCCTCCGCCTCCGCCTCCGCCTCCGCCTCCGCTCCGCCTCCGCCTCCGCCTCCTCCTCCTCCTCCTCCTTCCTCCTCCTCCTCCTCCTCCTCCCTGCTCCTCCTCCTCCTCCTCCCCCTCAACTTCCCTCCCCCCTCCTTACCTTCTCTTCATCCCTCCCTTCTTCCTTCCTGTCCCTCCAGTGTTCCTCGTCCTCCTCCTCCTCCCCCTCTCTCCCTTCCTCCCTGCCTCTATCTCCCTCCCTTCATCCATCCCCCCCTCCGTCCCCCCTCCCTTCCTTCCCCTCCCTCATTTCCACCATCGCTCCATCCCTCCCTGCCCCTCCTTCCCCCTTCCCCACATCCATCCATCCAACCATCCATTCGCCTCCATCGCCCCTTCTTCGAATTGAAGACAAAAGAGGAAAGAAAAAGGGAAAAGAAGAGAAGAGAAGATAGCATACTAGAAGAGACGATAACATGAGAGAAGCGAAGAGAAGAGAAGAGAAGAGGAAGAGAAGAGAAGAGAAGAGAAGAGAAGAGAAGAGAAGAGAAGAGAAGAGAAGAGAAGAGAAGAGAAGAGAAGAGAAGAGAAGAGAAGAGAAGAGAAGAGAAGAGAAGAGAAGAGAAGAGAAGAGAAGAGAAGAGAAGAGAAGAGAAGAGAAGAGAAGAGAAGAGAAGAGAAGAGAAGAGAAGAGAAGAGAAGAGAAGAGAAGAGAAGAGAAGAGAAGAGAAGAGAAGAGACGAGACGAGACGAGACGAGACGAGACGAGACGAGAAGAGAAGAGAAGAGAAGAGAAGAGAAGAGAAGAGAAGAGAAGAGAAGAGAAGAGAAGAGAAGAGAAGAGAAGAGAAGAGAAGAGAAGAGAAGAGAAGAGAAGAGAAGAGAAGAGAAGAGAAGAGAAGAGAAGAGAAGAGAAGAGAAGCGAAGAGAAGAGAAGAGAAGAGAAGCGAACAACGTTATAAGAGAAGAAAATTGACGAGACGATAGTGTACGATGATATACTCCAACGTACTGCACGAAAATGCAATACGGTATCGCAAAAGAGCATGCAATGGAATGGAAATGCAATGGAACAGTACCGTACTATGCACTACAATGAAATAATAGGTATCCTAAGATCCGAGACGAGAAGACTGGGCAAGCGAAGACAAGGTGCTCGAATTGAAGAGACGATGTGCTATGACGATCGAGGAGAATGTAAACGAAGAGAAAATAAGAGAAGGTAATACACCATCCGAGAAGAGAAAAGAAGAGAAGAGAAGAGAAGAGAAGAGAAGAGAAGAGAAGAGAAGAGAAGAGAAGAGAAGAGAAGAGAAGAGAAGAGAAGAGAAGAGAAGAGAAGAGAAGAGAAGAGAGAAGAGAAGAGAAGAGAAGAAGAGGAAGAGTAAAGAAAAGAGAAGATAAGAGAAGAGAAGAGAAGAGAAGAGAAGAGAAGAGAAGAGAAGAGAAGAGAAGAGAAGAGAGAAGAGAAGAGAAGAGAAGAGAGAAGAGAAGAGAAGAGAAGAGAAGAGAAGAGAAGAGAAGAGAAGAGAAGAGAAGAGAAGAGAAGAGAAGAGAAGAGAAGAGAAGAGAAGAGAGAAGAGAAGAGAGAAGAGAAGAGAAGAGAGGGAAATATAATAAATTATAAGAGGAGAAGCAAAAATAACACACGACTCTGTAAGAGACGAAGCAATCAGAGATGAGACGATACGGGAACAGAAGGGAGGCAGAGATAAAAGACGAGCCTGTCAGAAGCGGAGAAAAGCACCCAGCGTCGGAGAAGAAGCCCCGAAACAAGCCCAGAGATTCCCGCCCCCGAGTCCCAGACACCCACGGCTCCACTCTTTGCGTGCCTCCGGAAGCACTGGCCTTCTCGACCCCCGTTCCCTGGGGCCAGCTTCTCAGTCCGAATCGCTTCCGATCGCCCTGAGACCAAGAAATGGCCCCGTGAACTCAGAAAGTGGCGGAGAACCTCTGTCGCAGTTTTGTCCAGGACGTTGAATGTCTGAGAAGCCCTCTCTCCCTCCCTCTGGGGGGCAGGACAACGGGGACCATGACCAAAACTGAGCGCGGAAACAGATCCCGTCCTGGGCACCGTCGGTGCGGAACATCCCGGCGAGTCCGTGACGACCAGCATGGTCCATGACCATGGCCGGCGTCCACAAGTTCCCGTGACATGTTGGTCATGGTCATCGTGCTTCTTCCCACGACCCTCCGCCGCGGATCACCACCTGAGCACACCCCGCCCGCGCCCGCGCCCGCGCGCGCGGCCACACAGCCAGTGCAGGCTGCCGCCGCGGCCGGCCTGCCCCAGCGTACCAGTCGGGGCGGACGAAAGGGGGGAGCGGCAAACGGATAAGAGTACGGTCGGGAACTTCTGCTTAGCATTGGGTCGGGCATGCCCCCCTACAGGCAGATGTTGGGCGAGAAGCCTCCAAAACAAACTCACAGAATACCGGAAAGATGCGAGAACAAACCCAGAAAAGATCGTCCCCAGACTATGTTGCTACTATCTTTGAAAATTCCTCCTGTAGCGGGACACGCCCGACTTAAGCTTGGCGTCCTGCGGCGGCGGCCCGGCCACACTGAAGGGGGCCAAGGACACACAAATAAATACACACAAATAAAAGGATTCCCCATATTTTTCCATATTTATTGGGTTTTCGTCTTGCCCCCCACTTCCCATGTCTTCCATATTTTCTGGGGAATCGACGATGATTTGTGCCTGTGTGCTTTTTCCCCTCCTGCCAGCAGAGCGACACGCCGAGCAGAAGTGCCCCTTCCTGGGACCGCCTGTCCATCTGGAGCGTACACGTCGTTCATGTCTAATCGTGCTCGTGTCTGAGTGTGCTCGTTTCTGCTTGTTCCTGGCCCCTTAGCGGCCAGGAAGAAGCCCAGGATAGCACGATGAGAAACGAAAGGATCTTGGCCCAAAAAAGTCCATGAATTTTCGAAGAATTAGACATGAACCATGCGTGTGTTCCAGTAGGACCGAGAAGGCCCCCAGTGGGCGGAGAAGGTGTGCCAAAAACAGGTGGTGCCCGAACGGTTTTGCTCTGACCCTGCGCGCGGTCATCCGTCCGGGGGTCGTCTTCCCGCCATGCTCGAGCTTGGAGGCCACGCTTGGGGGCCACGCTGAGGGGCCAAGCCAGGGCCCACGCTGGGGGGCCACGCCAGATGCACCCTCTCTCTTGACCGCAGCTGCGGGGGATCGGGTACATGATGCGCTTGAGGTCCAGGAGCCTTGCCCGTCCTCAACTGAAATCCGACGTTGCAGAAAAACGACTACATCGCGGACAATCACGACAGGAGCCCTGAACCCCATCTTTCTGCGTCACCCTTCGAGCCAGATCGATCTGCGAGGGTCCTGGGGCCCAAAACCAGGCGTCGGACCCCGGTGTGAAGAGCTGAAGCGCCAGGCCCCCATGGGCCTGCCCCCTCCCTCTGCGAGGGCATGGCCCGACACTGGGCGCCAGACCCCGGTGTGAAAAGCGGAAGGGCTGGGATCTCAGGGCCTGCCCCCCTCGGGGGCGCGCAGACATGGATTAGCATTAAGTCGGGCGTGTCCCCCTACAGAAGGATTTTCGACGAAAAACAAAAAATATCCCAAAAATACCCCCCCAAACAAAAAACCTTCCAAAAATAGTCCCCAGCCTATTTTTGCATTATTTTTGGATTATTTTGGGTATTTCTTCTTTTTCGTCGAACAGCCCTCTGTGGGGGGACAGGCCCGACCTAAGATTAGCGATCCATGGATTTGGCGACCGGCCGCATTCTGAGGAGGTCCCCAGAGCGCGGCCGGTGCCGCCTCGCTCGGCGGCGGAAATCCGCGATCTCCCAGGGTGACCCGTCGCTGATGCACGCCCCCTTGATCCATGTTTGCGATCGCCTGATCAGGGCTTGCCCCCCTCCCTCCCCACCTGCCCCTCCCCATCGCGCGCGCGGGCCACTCCAAGCGGCACCCGGTCGAAGGCGGCGAGGAAGCACCGGGCTAGGCTCCGGGACTCGGCGGAGCTCGGAGGCGGCGACAGGGGCGAGTAGACCAGGGGCGGGCACCACACGCATTCGCCCAGGAGCCTCGCCGAAGGCATGGACCATCGGCGCCCCTGGATGCATGCGCACCCCTGCTTCAGAGTCAGGTCGGGCATGTCCCCCTGCAGGCGGATTCTGGGCGAAAAATGAACAATTTTCAAAAATACTGCACAATTGTCAAGAATCCTCCAGAAATCGTTCCCAGACTATTTGTTTACTCTTTTTGAATATTCCTCCTGTAGAGGGACAGGCCCGACTTAGGCTTAGAGTTCAGAAATTTCACGCCTAAGAATATGGCCTTAACGCCAAGCGTTTCCGTAAACCGTAGCCCAGATCCAGATGTACGAAAGTTCGACGACCCAAAAAAGGCTCCAAGGAAACGCACAGGGTCAAGCCCAGGTTCTTGACTCTCTCGGGCAAAATCCGGAGCCCACGAAAGCTGCAGCCTTGTCCTTAAGACTTCGGATGGGCGTACATGGCCGATTCAGGAAATCCTGAGCCCAAGGCTGTTGTCATCTCTTCGGGGCGCATCTTTTACCGCCGGCTCCCGCCGGCGGAGGCGGCCTCATTATACTTCCGCCGCCCTTCCGCCGAGGAAGCGATGGCAACACCTTCGACCCGCGAAGGCAAGCCCGTTTCTGGAACGCCCCCATCTGTATTGCTCCCCCTGGGCAACATGCTGCTGTCAACGCTGAAGGACGCTGGAGGGGGCGAACGTGCTCAAGAAACTGGGCCAGCCCTCTAGCAAGCTGGTTACGAAGCGCTGGCCCAGATCTCTGGGAGATCTGGTTTTCTTGATCAGATGCTCGACTGTGGTGCTCGACTGTGGTGGGAGGAAGAGGAGGAGGAGGAGGAGGAGGAGGAGGAGGAGGAGGAGGAGAGGAGGGGGAGGGAGGGAGGGGAGGAGGAGGAGGAGGAGGAGGAGGAGGAGGAGGAGGAGGAGGAGGAGGAGAGGAGGAGGAGGAGGAGGAGGAGGAGGAGCGGGAGGAGGAGGAGGACGAGGAGAAGGAGGACGAGGAGGAGGAGGAGGAGGAGGACGACGACGACGAGGAGGGTTCTCTGCGATCAGATGCTCGACTGTGGTGCTCCGCCCTGGGGCTATTCGCCCCCGTCGGCGCCTCCGGGGAGCGGCGGCGGGTGCGGCGGCGGCAGAGGGCGGCCCCTCGGCGGCCCCTCGGCGGCCCCTCGGCGGCCCCTCGGCGGCCCTCGGCGGCCGTCCTGGGGGGGGGGGGGGGGCACGAGAGGGGGGGGAACGAGAGGACGGAGCGGAAGGAGGGGAAGGATGGCCCCGCAGGATGAGGATAGGTTGAGGAGGAGTAGGAGAAGGAGGAGAAGGAAGAGGGGGAGAAGGAGACGGAGGAGGACGATGGAGGAGGAGGAGGAGGAGGAAGAGGAGGAGGAGGACCAGGAGGACCAGGAGGAGGAGGAGGAAGGAGGAGGAAGAAGAAGAAGGAGGAGGTGGTGGTGCGAGCAGGAGGGAGGAGACAGGAGGCAGAAGGCAGGAGGCGGGCAAGATGGTCATGCGGATGGGGAGGAGGTATGATGGCAAGGGAAAGGAGGCATGAGGAGGAGGTCGAAAAAAAGAGAGAGAAGTAATCATTAATAGGAAGGGAGGGCAAGGGCAAGGACAAGGAGAACGAATGAGAGGAGGAGGAGGAGGAGGAGGAGGAGGAGGAGGAGGAGGGAAAGAGGCAGGGGAGGAGGATAAGGACGGGGACAAGGACGGGTAAGATATATGAGGAGGCAGGGGAGGTAGTCATGAGAGGAGGGGGAGAGGGACGAGGGGGAGGAGGTGTGAGGATGAGGTGCGAGACGGGGGAAGAAGCATCAAGAGCACGAAGACGAGGAAGAGAAGGGAAGAAAAGTGCACAGTGATAACCAGGAGGATGGTGGGGGGGAGTGACAGGAGCAAGGTGGAGGCGCACGGGGAAAGGGAGAGGAAGAAGAGGAGAGGGAGTGGGGAGGGGAAGGGAGGTAGAGCGAAGGGAGAGGGGTGGAGGGGTTGATGGATGGATGGGTGGAGGGCTGGAGGGATGGAGGGGGGCGGAGGGGTGGAAAGGTGCAGCTGCGGGGGATCCCAACCTGCCCTCCGCTTCGATGTGCCACGCGGTGCAGGTCGCTTCCCTAAATTCCGTCCGCCTTCGCTGAGGGAGGCGCCGTCGCCATTCTAGCCCCAGGTATCCCCAGGACGCGTGAACCACAGACCATCACGTCGAGGTACAGCCAAGGGCCAACAGCCACAGCCACAGCCCATGATCGCCGCACAGTAAAGAAGAGCTCCTTGTGTGGCACCCAAGGAGCTGCCCCAAGATGTCGTCAATCCCGTTCGTCGGCCCCGCACACGACGAGCGTGGGTCCTGTGCCGTAGCTGTCGGCAGCTTCCTTCGTTCGCTTGCCTCCCGACTGCTCCCCGCTCAGCTGTTCGCTGTCCGTCGTGCCCAGGCTGCCAGCAGTAACAGTGGAGGCCAGTCCACAAAAACCTTCCACCAAAAAACCCAACCCTGAGACCCCAGGACGTCCACGTCCACTGATTCTTAGTACGGGAACGTCACGCGCTCCATAGCAAAACCATTCCGAAACATAGAAGGGCCCAAAAAAACCTGCTAGTTGTTGTTGGCACCTTCCCTATGGTTTTTGCAATTTGCAAAATCACCCTCCGTATGAAACCACAACGGAAATCGTTTTCGCATTGTGACACAATCCTTTTGTATTCCAGCACAGGGAAGATGCTCATATATTCTGAAACAAAAGGGATTATTCTGTATTCTACCAGAAGAGGAATCCGATTGAAAGTAAGACACTAATATAGAACTATGCGCTGGCACAGTTAGCACAACACTGTTGAACAAAAACATGACGAAAAGCCTGAGCAGGCACAGGTTGCACAAATGCTTTCGAGTGAAAATGTCGTTTTCGTATGGCCAGGCATACATAGCAGTTCTTAAAGGATTCTCCGTGCATGGGAACGTTCTTTCTGTCAGAGCTAAAACTTCCCCAAATCCTATACAGATCTGTGCAGGCACAAGCGAAACTCATGTTCAGAAGGGCCACCGTTAAGAAAATCTGTGCAGGCGCAGTTAGCACCGAACTTTTCGATAAACAACAAAAAACTCCGCAGGCACAGTTGGCACAGATGTTTGTGAATGAAAATGCTGTTTTCGAATGAAAATAGTGTTTTCATATGGCCAGGCAGCGTAAGCAAATAGTTTGTCTGGTGTTGTCATATATGGGAAGTTGGAATCACATCCACAGATGGAAAATCGATTTTTATGTGAAACTGAGCCTGGCAATGCGAAAACAACCTATATATACACGCATGTGTATACACATGATAACAATTGAATATAATATATACATAATATAATATTGTAAACTACCATACAATATAATACAATATGGTAAAACCTAATGGAATAACTATAATGTAGTATAATATAATGTACTATACTATACTATAACATAGTATAATAGAATACAATATAATATAATATAATGTAATATGATACACTATACTATACTATACTATACTATACTATACTATACTATACTACAATATAATATAATGTACTATAATCTAGCATAATAAGATAATGTAATATAATATGATATAATATAATTTAATATAACATAATATAACATAAACCATACAATATAATATAATATAATATAATATGACATAATAGAATATAATATATACAACATACATACATACACATATACATACATACCGACCTACATTCATACATACATACATACATGCATACACACACTATATACATACATACATACATATACATACATATATGCATACATGCATGCATACATACATACATACATGTAATATAATGCAAAATGTGTTATACGTACATGATATATACTTACGTTAAAAATAAATGCGCCGGATTTTCTTCATGTTTGGATTCCCAACCCTCCTTGGTTGGGTTTTCGTTTTGAAAGCGCACTGCGGTCTCCAATTCTCCTCCTCTCCTCCTCCTTCTCCTCCTCCTCCCGCCTCCTCCTTCCGCCTCACTCCTCCCGCCTCCCGTTTCCTTCTCCTCTTGCTCTGTGCGGCCCTCGCCATCCCTGGGGGGCTGCGATCCGCGAAACTGTCGCCACTTTCGAAGGCTGCTGGTGGGTCCTGCGGAGCGAGGCACCGCGGGGATCTGAGCGGGACCTGGCCGCCCCTGGGGGGCTGATATGTTCGACACTGTCGCCGCTTTCGAAGGCTGCCGGTGGGTCCTGCGGAGTGAGGCACCGCGGGGATCTGAGCGGGATCTCGCCGTCACTGGGGGGCTGCGATCTGCGACGCTGTCGCCACTTTCGAAGGCTGCTACTGGGTCGTGCGGAGTGAGGCACCGCGGGGATCTGAGCGGGACCTCGCCGTCCCTGGGGGGTTCCGATCTGCGACACCGTCGCCACTTTCGAAGGCTGCTGATGGGTCCTGCGGAGCGAGGCACCGCGGGGATCTGAGCGGGACCTCGCCGCCCCTGGGGGGCTGCGATCTGCGACACTGTCGCCACTTTCGAAGGCTGCTGGCGGGTCCTGCGGGGTGAAACACTGCGGGGATCTGAGCGGGACTTCGCCGTCCCTGGGGGGCTGCGATCTGCGACACTGTCGCCACTTTCGAGGGCTGCCAGTGGGTCCTGCGGAGTGAGGCACCGCAGGGATCTGAGAAAGACCTCGCCGTCCCTGGGGGGCTGCGATCTGCGACACTGCCGCCGCTTTCGAAGGCTGCCGGTGGGGCCTGCGGAGTGAGGCACCGCGGGGATCTGAGCGGGACCTCGCCGTCCCTGGGGGGCTGCGATCTGCGACGCTGTCGCCACGTTCGACGGCTGCTGGCGGGTCCTGCGGAGTGAGGCACCGCGGGGATCTGAGCGGGACCTCGCCGTCACTGGGGGGCCGCGATCTGCGACGCTGTCGCCACTTCCGAGGGTTGCTGCTGGGTCCTGCGGAGTGAGGCACCGCAGGGATC